GTTCACTAGGGGTAGGTCCTGTCAGACCAACCTGGTTGCCTTCTATGACCAGGTCACAAAATCCTTAGACGCAGGTCTCGCGGTGGATGTAGTCTTTCTGGACTTTAGGAAGGCTTTCAACACTGTCTCTCACCCCATTCTCATTAAAAAATTAGGCGACTGTGGCATTGATGCCTACACAGTCAGATGGGCCACAAACTGGCTGGAGGGCCACACCTAGAGAGTGTTGGTGGACGGGTCATTTTCGACCTGGAGGGATGTGGGCAGTGGGGTCCCCCAGGGCTCGGTCCTTGGGCCCACACTGTTCAGTATCTGCATCAGCGACTTGGACGAGGGAGTGGGCACGATAGAATGGAGGGACAGGCTACAACTAGATCTGGACATGTTACAGGGGTGGGCGGATGAGAATAGGATGGGATTCAATACTGACAAGTGCAAGGTGCTGCAGCTAGGGAGGAAGAACCAGCAGCATACCTACAGCTTGGGGAACTGCCTTGTCATCAGCACAGAGGCAGAAAAGGATCTTGGGACTCATTATTGATTCCAAGATGAAGATGGGCTGCCAGTACGAGGACGCGGTCAGTAAGGCTAACCACACCTTGCCATGCATCCAGAGATGCATCACGAGCAGGTCCAAGGAGGTGAATCTCTCCCTCTATGCAACACTGGTCAGGCCACAGTTGGAGTACTGCATCCAGTTCTGGGTGCTGCACTTCAGGAGGGATGTGGACAGCACTGAGAGGGCCCAGAGGAGGGCCACTCGCATGGTCAGGGGGCAGCAGGGCAGGCCCTATAAGAGGCTATGGGACCTGAACCTGTTCAGCCTCCAGAAGAGAAGGCTGAGAGGAAACCTGGTGGCCATATCTATAAACTTACCAAGGTGGACCAGCGGGGAACAGGAGAGTCCCTGTTCCCCCGAGCACCACTAGGAGTAACTAGGAATAATGGCCACAAGTTGAGTGAGAGTAGGTTCAGGCTAGATATCAGGATGCGCTACTTCACAGTCAGAGCGGCAAGAATCTGGAACCAACTTCCAAGGGAAGTGGTGCTTGCTTCTACCCTGGGGGTCTTCAAAAGGAGGCTACATAATCACGTAGCTGGGGTCGTTTGACCCCGGCATTCTTTCCTGCCCATGGCAGGGGGTCAGACTTGATGATCTGCTCAAGTCCCTTCCTACCCTACCAACTATGAAACTAGGACCGAGAGAGAGCCATCATGAAGCTTGCAGGGTCGAGCAGCACAGCCCTACCCCCAGCCCAGCAAGTGGGGGGACTGCAGCTGCTGCTGCCATGTGCAGCTTCAGCAGCACAGCCCTCCCCCCAGCCCAGCAAGGGGGGGGACTGCAGCTGCTGCTGCCATGTGCAGCTTCAATGGGTGAGCCCAGAGCCAGTGTGGGGCCCAGGCTGGCAGTGGGGCTAGGTTAGAAGCTGGTGCTGAGTGTGGGGGAAAAGTGGCCTGGCCTCTCACCTGCCCCGTGGTCCATGCTCCCTGCTGCAGCTGCTTGCAGCCCGTGTGGGCTGTGAGCAGCTACAGCAGGGAGCACGGGGTGGGGGAGGGGCTGATTTTCCCTGCGCTCCATGCCAGCTCCTTCACCCCCCCACCCCTTACCTCCCTTACCTGAGGTTCCCATGCCAGGGCAGCCACATGGTCCCAGGCCAGAAGCCCCTGCTGGGGTGGCGGAGCAGGGCAGGCCCTCCTGTTGCAAGCCTGCCAAGGATTCCCCTGGGTCCTACTGCCTCTAGTTCCTGTCATTTTTTACAGGAACCAAGGACAGGTGCATTTTAATTTTCAAAATCTTTTTAGGGGCCCCACGGGCCAGACAGAATGACCTTGCAGACCGGATCTGGCCCGCGGGCCATATTTTGCCCACCCGTTCTAGGTACATAGCAAAAGTAGATGGCTAAACTACAAAAGCAACAGCAAACACAGGCGCTCCTCCTCCAAGTTGTAGAAAAATAGCAGAAACTGCAGGGTGTGCAATTTGCCACACAACAATAGTGGCAGGAAGCACAGTTCTAGGAACAAGAACGTTACAGAAGCAGCTTGGACTGATGGACTCCGGAACCTTCCT